TAAAGCCAAAAAGGGGTCTGGGGAAGAGGCAAAGGGGGTTAATGCGATTTGGAGGGGCCTCCTGGGACCCACAAGCCACTCACCAAGCCCAGGTAGGTCCTCCAGCCTCTGAAACCAAATTTCATTTCTGCACCCCTACTAACATCTATTTTTTTGTTTTTGGAGACAGGGTTTCTCTGTGTAATAGCTCTGACTGTCCTGGAACTCACTCTGTAGACCAGGCTGGTCTTGAACTCACAGAGACCCACCTGCCTCTGTCCCCCAGTTGCTGGAATTAAAAGCGTGCACCACCGCCTGACTCTAGGCTAATATCTAACATAGTATTTAACATGTTCTGCTCCAGTTCCCAGCAATGTCTTGAAACCCTCATCTTGGTCTTGGCCAAGATGTACCAAGTTCTACATTCCTGATCTATGTTGGCCCCATACAACACTGTTGGGACCGAGTTCATCTAGGAGACACAAAGCAGGGGCTGATTTCTCAGCTGATCACTGGAGATGCCTTAAAAGCCCGAGACACAAAGTTGCCCAGGAGCATGGATCAAAGTGGTCCTAGGAGAGCTGCAGAGCCGCTGAGAAAAGCAGACCAAGGAAGCAGGCGAGAGAGGCCATGTGGCCACCTGCATCTGGTTTATTGTCTTTCTTTTGTCCAAACTCAGCAGAGTGTGAGGCCACCAAGGGGCAGCCAGGCTGATCTTTGGGGCCAACTAGAGTTAGGTGTGTGGTGGTAGGGGACAAAATTCATGAAACATCCATTGGGTAAGAGTCAAAATTCAGGAGGCCTGTCTGTGCATCTTCCATGCCTAAATCCCCCACCGCAAGGAGGCGAGATGGGATCTGCATGAATGTGCTACTCAAAAATGAAGTGGGGGCAGCCACTGGGGTCCAGTGGTTTGTGGGCAGCTCCATGGGAGCCTGAATGGGCCTCCTGAGATGGCTAGACGCCACCTTGTTCACGAGAGAAGGTGGGCTGCAAGGCCAGGTGAGGTGAGTCAGATGCAAGCAGGACCTCGTCTAGGCCACCTCTCCCTGAGCTGTCCTCTTTCCCGTGGTTCCCAATTCTTGCTCATCTTACCAACATCTCTGGTCTTTACAAAACCCATCTCTTACAGAGGAACCAATCCAGTGGGTAAGGCCCGACATCCCAACACCTCCCTATGATGCTCTCTTGCCAAGAGCATCCTCACAGTGCTGGGCTTCTAATGCGCCCCCAAGAAAGGGAGGTAAGTATGAGGGTCTATGGGTATGTGGGGCCCTTGAGCACAGAGGCGAAGGCCTCTCCCTGTGCATCCCGGGGACGGAGGTCTACCCAAAGTCTTGACCCTATATGTTTGTGCTGCCATCCCAGCCATGAACGTGAATCCAGAAGGATCTCCAGTCCAGCCTCATGAGGGGCAGCGCCTGCAGACCTGGTGGGACAAGAAGGAAAGAAGACAATCTTGGAGGAAGGTTGGCTGCAAGGGGATAGGAAACCACTTCCTTCCATGTTCCCTAATCAGCTAGCTAGAAGACAGGCAGAAGAAAGGAAGACTTGGATCCCAACTCCCCAACCCTGCCAAACCTATTCCAGGGCTAAATGAGAGAGAGAGAGAGAGAGAGAGAGACTGAGATGGACACCTACCATAATTAAGAGTATGCCAGGCCCTGGAGCCCCCGGGCTGCAGAGTGGAACTTGTCAGTATCTTCAAAAGGCTGGTCTGTGGTCACCAAGGAGAGAGGGAAATAAGCCTTCTGTGACCTGGTGACCTTACCTGCACGTTCCTCTCTGGACGGAAGACAGACGGCAGGTATATAACACCTTCTTCGGGCTGTCAATCTATCTGGCCCTGGTTTGGGACCAGCAAACAAGGTGGATGGAAAGGTGAGGGGTGCCACTTTGGTGTCTCAGGATGTACAGCCTACGCCCTTGACTTCTTTATTTCCCTAACCTCTGGGCTTCTCTTCTAGGCTGCCCTCTTCTTCCCCCAACCCCATGTGTAACATATAACTGGGTGTCTGTCGTGTATATATGTGCGTGCGTGCAAGTGGGCCAGCCTGTGCATGTGTGTGGTGAAGGCCAGAGGTTGGCTCTGGGAGTCTCTCTCCACTTGATTTCCGAGACAGAGTCACTCACTGAAACTGGAACTTGCCATTATTTTCCAGGTAGACTTACTGGCCAGTGAGTCTTGGGTATCTGCTTGTCTGGCCCAGGGCTGGGGCGACAGGTGTGTCCCACCACACCCAGCTTTTGTGTGGAAGTTAAAACTCAGTGGTTCATGCTTGTACAGCAAATGCTTCTCTCAGATCATTCCCCCAAGCCCAGACCCACCTTCTTCAGAGGGCCTGTGCCAAGGTGAGGAAGCAAATGGATGAGGGCCAGGACAGTAGGAAAGGCAGCTTCCGGGGGCACTGACCCAAATACACAGCAGCATCCTGTCTGTCACCCACAGGTGGGAAATATGCCATTTCATTGGTTCCCACCCCACTGGTTTCTTTCCTTGAAGGACTCCTTCCTCTGGAGTCCTGTCTTCCCTATCTCTCACATTTTAAGCTGCACACACACACACACACACACACACACACACACGTTAGGACAAATTATCCAAAAGTTGGAAATAAGACCAAGAAAAGGGGTGCTGTGCCTTTAAAAGGAGTGGAAGTTGGGAACAAGGTCCTGCTATATGACCCAGGCTGGTTTTGAACTTAAGATCTTTCTCGGCCTTTTTTTTTTTTTTTTTTTTTTTTTTTTTTTTTTTTTTTTTTTTTTT